ACACTTTAAAAGACAAGACAAAAATGAACCATTGAATGGGAAAAATACTTGCAAAATACCTATCTGTTAAAAGTACTTGTTCTCTGAACATACAAAAAATCTTAGTATTTAATAATAAATACCAAAGAATCCAATAAATGGATGGGGGAGGGAATAGACTTGTCATCCAAGAAGAAATACAGATATCAAATAAATCTATGGGGAAATAAATAAATAAATACAAATGGCAAATAAATCTGAAGTATCAAGTTTCACTAGGAAAACACAAACCACAATGAGATAATAATTTACACTTATTACAAAAGCTACAATTCAATTTTAAACATAGCTAAAAATGACAAGTTCTGACAGAGACAGAAAGAAACTGGAATTTTCATACATCACTAATAAGTATAAAAGCAGCTTTAGAAAATAGTTTGACCATTTCTTAAAAGGTTATGCATATGCTTACCACATGACCCAGTAGTAATTTGTATCCTACATACATACAATGAAAACATTTGTACATACAGTATCATTATACAAATATCTACAGGCCATTTATTTACTTGCTAAACCTGGAAAAGGTATTTATCTACTATTCAATATATATATATTCCTGGAATATATATATATATATTTCTTGGAATATATATATATATATATATATATATATATATATTCCAAGAAAAAGGATATTTCTCAACAACAAAAAGAATAAACCACTGATACATGAATGATTCTCAAAAATGTTATGCTAAATGAAAGAAGCCAGACTCAAAAAGATACATACTGTTTGATTCGATTTATGTGACATTTTAGGAAAGGCAAAATAACAGTGACACAAATCAGTTGCCAGACCCTGGAGGAAGTGGAGAGAATTGACTACAAAAGACCATAAAGAAACTTTTGAGGATGATAGAATTGTTCCATAACCTGACCACATTATATGACAGGGTATGTTTGTCAAAACCCACAAAAGGGTGAATCTTACTGTACGAAAATTATATTTCAAAAATCTGACTTAAAAAAGACTATCAAGAAAATGTCCATAGCGGCTAATTTTTCTATCCTTTTGTACATGTATATTTTCATATTCCCATAATAAAACACTATTTATATGTGCCTGATGTAGGTAGTATTTATTATGTAACATTGTGAATCAAAATCAAACTCAAAGCATATTACTGAAGTTTCTACATTAGATTTCAGTAATGGTACAATTCAGACCTAATTTTCCAATTTATTTTATATGATCCTTGAGAAACTGTTTACTGCCATTATTTGGCTCTGGAAAATCTTGACTGGCTACATTAGAAAACTAACTTTGGTATAAGTTTCCAGCACAGTTAATGACAAAATTGTTTGTCATTATATAATAATGACAAAATTGTTTGAATATAGATTTGCACTTAAACTGCTCAAAAACTATTTTATATAAATTTAGAACATACTTCATGAGCTAATTTTAACAACTTTACATTCTAATGCCTCCTGCTTTTCTCTGCAATAAATAAACATTTTAAAATGGATGCCAATATCATATACAAGCTCTTCAATTTCTAATAGGTCATTTATTTAGAATGTAAATATAAGAAAGTAAATCAAAACAAGTCACAGGCTGGGAATAAACCTATATAAACTATGTTCTAATAAAGGACTTACACTAGAAATACATGAGAGTTTTTGCCCAACTGAAGTCACACAAAGCAAGAAGATTCCAGCAGAAAGCTTTTGCTATATTATAAAGATTCTAGTTTTAATATCCTGTTTTATGCTATCCCAAGTGATTCTAATCTTATATAGTGCTCATTTAAAAGCTTTTAAAAAGATAAGAGCTAACAGATTTTGCAAAAGTCTATAATCCTCTAAGGCATTCTAAACTATGGGAATAATTAAGGAAAAAATAATACAAAATCTGTTGATTCCCATCTGCCCTCAAATTTCCACACTTAGACAATGCCTTATAATACAGGAACTATTTGATTATTACTTTTAGTTTTTTAAAACATTGATCTTACCTGTCAGTGGCAATTCTTAGGACAAACATCTGAGAAAGGACATACTGTTACTTATGTGCCTGCTTTTTCTTTTTATTAGGATATGTTTATAGTACACAGTGATTGCATTCATTGTGGAGTATTGGTATATAACACATCTCAGTTCTTTTATGATTTCCCCCTTTTCCTCCAACACCCATTTTTTCCACCATCGGATTCATTTGTTTATCTTATAAATCCTTATAAAGTTAATTATCATACATGCAGATTAACAGCCAGACTAACAGACCAAAAAACACATAAAACATAGAAGACGATAAATCAAGGTACATTTTTAGATACATTGCTTATCCTGAATTACAATAGCTTTCTTTCTTCCTATTATCTGCCTTTTATTTTGCATTTTATTTATATATTGAATTTATGAAATAAGAGAAACTAAGTGATATTTAACCTTCTGTGACTGACTTATTCACCTAACACTATGGTCTCAAGGTCCATTGTGCTTTATGAATTTACCAAAGAGTGCCCTATTTTTTAGACATGCTTCATAACCCTAGCTTTATCATAATGTAAAAATCATATAACTGTATTAGTATAAATGAAATCAAGCCCCTTCATAACTGGATTGAACGGTCATAATTGTGCCAGCCTGCTTACAGCACTGCCAGGGCCATGGCATATGGCTGTCATTTGCCCTTGGAATAATACTATGCATTCTAGGCTAGGGATGGTAAATGTGCTTTGAAATCCAACTCTGCTGTTGCAAGACCTGTGTGATCTGCTAATGGAAAGTGGCACCTTTTTTCCAGTAGGTGGGTATTTGTGTAATTTGTAGGCTCATGGGGGAACCTTTTTTAATTCACACAAAGATGCTGTCAATATTAGAAGTGATCCAAAAGTCTATTATCCTTTCTAAAAATCCATCTTAGAAAACCTACCCACATTAGGAATTACATACTACACACTTTTTTCATTTTTTTACTATATCATTTATGGAACAGCTCTAAAATTGGAGGTAATCATTAATATTGCATAGGTAAGCAAACAATCAATCCCTTCATCTTGAAATTATCTATCACCATATTTCCATGTAATCTATATTATCTTAATCATTAGGTTTAAAATAAACAACACCTCTCTACATAAGTGGCAGGGTGTGTCCCTTCAGGAAAGCCTGATATATTATTTTCCTGTCTTCCTTAAGGAGAGCCAGATTTTCATTGCTGACTCTGAGCTGTGAAAAGCCAGTCACCTTGTGTATACAGCAAAGCTATGTCAGAAAAATGTAGTGAAACAAAACTGTATAGAGAATTCGCGGTCAGTTATAACTGACAGTACATGTAGCTTGGGAGTATCAGGTAAAAGTATCATAAATATAAGCCACCATGCTCATCTTCCCTTCAGTAACCATAACAATGATTTGTAGAATCTTTTCTTCTTCATGCATCCATAAACAATTAGCATCTCTTTGTTGAACTCTAATTGCTCTTCTTACACAGCTGTGCCACAGTACCACTCAAGAAAGAAGCCTCACTATTAAGATAGTTATTAATAAAATAATGCCCTACAAATGAAAAGGGCCTGGGGCATTCAGGAAAAGCAGGTTACCCCACATCCTTTCAGAACACTATAGACCATTTCTTAAAAGCTAAGTTGCTCTGTCCTTTTCTCTTAACTACAAACCCCTAGTGAGAGGCACAAGAATGTGGAGGTAAAGAACACAGCCTCTCTACAAAGAAGAAGCAAATAAAAGGACAAAACTTCCTTTTCCTGTCTATGACTTGTACTCTGAGTAACATTTTGGCCACTCTTAAGATAGTAATGTGCAGAATATTAACTCTTGTGGTTCTCTTAATTATTTTGTTATGAATTTTTGGTTTTTTTACATAGAAGCAGGAAGCACACTTTTTTGTCTTTATTACTCTATTTGTATTATATAAAAATAAAAAAGTAATTTTTAAAGTAACACGTCCTCTTGAACTCACTGTATTTGTTTTGAATTCTAGCTCTTCCACTGACAAAGCTGTGTGAGTGGAGAATATTATTCAACCTCTTCATGCCTCAGTATCCTCATCTGTAAACTGGCTCTTATATTGGTTTATTGTTGTGTGAATTACACAGCTTAACAGCCATAAAGAGCTTAGAAACATGCTTTGCATATATTAGATGTTCAATACATTTAAACAAAGACATGTTATTTTTATTCATTGCTATATACCTTTTCCTCTCCCAGTTAGTTAGTTTTCAAATTTTTTTTTTTTTTTGTCTTTTTCGTTTTTGTCGGTACCGGGGATCGAACTCACGACTGCCTGCTTGCAAGGCAGGCGCTTATGCCACTGAGCTAAATCCCCAGCCCCAGTTTTCAAATTTTTAATTCACACCTGCTACCTAACCACATCCTCAGCACCAAAAGCAAAACTGCAAACTAGCATTGAAGTCTATCTAACTATGCATTTGTGTTTTAGTAGCACTGTGGCTAAAGCAATAGAAAAGACCATTTGTGGTAGTTGTAAAGTGTTGGAGGTACTCACTGAATTACTCAAGTCACTTTTAAATCTTAGAGTCTTTCACCCTTCAAAGTGACACAATACAGGATGACAACATTCCTATCCCTTTCTATTTGAGAAACTCCAGAAGCTGTTTGTCCTAGAAATATCTTGACATGTTGGAAGTTTTCAGCTTCAGGAAATGAAATGTTTTACAGTGGCAGATTGAAATATTTGCAAATTTGACATGAAATTACTTCACATAGTGTAGGAAAAAAGTACACTTCAAAAAAAAAAAGATGTGAAATATGCATAGATAGATATAATTCTATATATTTAACTTACTTGTGATCTCCATCTGTATGCATCCCATAATAATACACTATTTGCAAAATCTAATAAACAACAATATACTGGTTCGTACTACAAAACAGTTAAGCTTCTTTGCTTGCCAGCAACTGAGTCTCTGACCAACAAGGGGTTAACAAAAAACACATTTTATTTTTCCCCAAGAGATTTACTCTTTACTCACCTTCTGCCATCCTCAGGCTTATGTAAGGGTTACAAGGATACCGCCTCAATCCAGATCATAAATTCACAGAGCATATTCCAAAGGAGGGAAGGAAAGGAGCCAACTTTTGCCATCTTTCCATTGATCTTTCCAGAAGCACCATTCTATTCCACCAGTACCCTTGAATTCATACTTCATGAGCCAGAACTGCATCACATGACCAATCTTGTCTGCAAGAAGATATGAGAGATCATCCAGCAATCCCAACTTTTAGCATGGAAGGAAAAAAAAATTAGGAAAAGAATGGTCATTGAGTAGACCTACTTATAATGTCCTTCTCCTGATCTTCCATCTAGAAAACTTATAATTATCCTTTAAGAAACAAAGCATCTGTCATCAGTTATTCTCTCCCAGCCCAATCCAAGCCAGTACTGTGTGTTCATTTTTTTTGTGAATTGACAGCACTTTGTGCAAGTGTACACGGTTGTGTCCCGTTTTGCATGTTTATTGTCACTGATACTAGTTTCCCCACTACAAAGTTAACTTCTAGAATGGAAAACACGTGTCTTAACCACTATATCCCTAATGTCTATTGGCAGTATAGTTGAAAATTTAGACCAAATTATCTAAACTATGATGATGAAACTATTCCTAAATGATCACACATGTATTGTGTTATAATAGGCAGCATACAAAATCACACACACCAAAAAAAAAAAAAAACTCTGAAAGAAATAAAATTAAGGGGAAATTGTTTATATTGATAATTGCCCAGGTAACCAAAGTCACTTTTTTCAACCAATATTTCAGTGTTTTGGAGGAAGTTTATTAAGCACTTCCAGGTCCATAAAAACAAAGACCAACCAGATAATATAGGCCTAGGGCAGGAAAAACACAAGCCCAGAATATCTTGTCCTACCAGAGAGCACAGAAGCTAATCAAAGAGTACCAGGGTTATGCTGAAAGAATTTAGGATCCTATGCAAACAGACCCAGATGGTTAGCTACCTACTGTGTTCTCACATGGTTGATTTTCTGTGTATATACATCCCTGGTATCTCTCCTATGTACAGATTTTCTCTTACAAAGATACAATAACTACGTTTTAACTTAATTATCTCTTTCAAGAGCCTATCTCCAAACACATTAACATTCATGGGTCTTAGGACTGTAACGCACACAGGTGGTGGGAGACACAATTCAAATAGGACAGCTGCCATCCTCAGCAATCCAACATTATGAGTTTTCCTGGAAATGTGTCTGACTAGGCAAGCTCCCCCTAAAAACCAAAACCAAAAACAGGGATCAGGTTAAGGTTGGTAGGGGCACTTCATTTCAATTTACTCTCATCAGATTCTAAGTATCAAAAACAAATTTAATCAGGTCTAACAGAAGACAAAAATTTTTTATGGAAATGGATTAGGGAATCCAATTTCTTATTCAGGCCCAATGAATCTGTCATAGCTTGAATAATCAGTATCTTTCTGACTTTGCTTGAGGCACCTTATCCCATGCAGAGAAATGGATGTATGCATGGAAAACATGTACTTGCCTCCATGCAAGGATGCAGAGTCAACATGAACCCCTCTGTGTACCATCTGCATTAACAGGGAGAGACACAGGAAGCTTCCTGCCACGAGCAGCAACAGAACTTAATCCTCTAACATCCAACAATGCCCTCATTGGGCTCTACACGTGTACTCTCTGCCTGAACTCCTTGCCAACCTCTTGTTCAAGGGTTCAGAAGGAGCAGGCAGGGCATTCTGTTCACAGGTGGTTTGCTTTGCCTAATTCCAAGTTTTCTAGGCACCTAAACAAATCTCAGCAGTCTTTCCTCTTTTACTGTTCCATTTCCCCTCAGTCTGCCAATGAGATACAAAATTGTGGTTGCTTAATTGGGCATTGCTTTGCTACCTTAAACGAGACTGTTTTAGGGACTTCTCTGTCTCCATTTATTGGAGCTTATTTTACTCCAAGTCTCATCTAATCAAACATATTGGCTAAGCTGGCATCACTGCAGGCTCAAAACCAGATCACAGAAGCCTGTCAGACCCACCTGCATTGTGCTTTACCTTTTCATATTAGTCAAAGTGTAGGAAGATTTTCTTTTGCAATACTGTTTTTCTGTAAGGACTTGTATTTAGTGTTAATGTACAACTATATCTGTACCAATTCTAACATGTCTCTCATTGTCACTTATCAATACAAAAGGATTCTTGGTCTTTATCAGACAGACGTAATAAGTTATACAAGTCTTCATTAAATGACCCCCAGTACTCCTGCAACCATAATCTTCAATCTTCTGAATTCTTTGGGTTCCCCAAAATTTTAAGTCCCAAGAATCCCACAAAATAATACCTTGGAAAAGCCAACATACAAGGCCACTGAAAATGGACTTAAGCAGAGATCTTACTAAAAAAGGAAAATACCTAAAATTTACAATATTACAGAGAGCTACAGCTCCTGTGGCATTAACAGAGGGAGCAAAGCAGAGACTGGCAGGAAGCACTGGGGGTGAGAGGTGTGGGAACCCTCCACAGAGATTCCCGGGCAACAGAAGTATCCTTGTCTCCAAATTGCCCAACTATACTGTATTTTACAGCATTTGTCTCCTTGGAAATGAAATGCCTATGTTTTGATTATGCCTCCTATCAGCAAAAAGAAAAAAACTGAGAAACTGTTATCAACACTTCTTTCTCAATGAGTATCACAGAAGCATAGAAAGAACCTTGGTGCCAGACAAACTTGGCTTCTAAGGAGTTTTCTACCTGCTATCTTCATAGATTTGGACAAATTACATAACTTCTTTGAACTTCTATGCTCTTTTGTATAAGATAAGCATAATTTCATCAAAAGGTGTTTTAGAGGATTAATTGATGCGCACTGGGTAAAGTACCTGCCACATGGTTTAGCTCAATAAATGCTTTTCCTTACACAAAGCTCCTGAGAGCAAAGATAAATGTGAAACCATCGACCACAGTATCTCTTTCATCATCTAATAACAGGAAGAAAGAAATAATAGATAAAAATATATTGTGTCAAATAAAGGACTTTACATTTAATCCTCCCTTCTGCCACATTCTAAGGGAGATTTTCATTTCAACTGTGGCTATCACAAAAGCTCGGGGGAAATGCAGTCATCTGTTTTGCCGTTTTCTTTAAAATCTAAATGTCAACATGATCAAGTCAGTATAGTGGACAGGAGCTACAATTAAGCACAGCTATTCAAACCCTTGCCGTAAGACCCTATGTGATTCCTGTGCCTGTTCACATGGCTGCTTTATGGAGCCCTTTTGATCTACATAGTTTTGAACCATGGTGACCCAGGTCACACTTAGATGAAGTCGGAATCTCTGTGTACAAGGCCTGAGTGCCTGTCTGTTTTACATCTTCCTAGATAATTCTGATGTTCAGGAGGATGGCTGTGTAGGTCCCTAGGATTCAAAGAAGAACATACTATAATCTAACACTGGAGACGCTAGGGAAACAAGCTCCAAAAATAGAACCAAGTTCAAGGCAGGAGAAGACACAGAAGGTAAGCAAAGGGAGAGATTTACTGAAATTAATTAATCTGCAAAATCACCTTTCTAATTTAGTAACAGACAACTACCCCCATCAGATCTTTTTGCAATACTAAAGGAAAATGCAAAAGAATTTGGGTTAACAGAAAGAGAAGTAACCTAAACATTTTCTGACAGAGAAATTTAAAAATTAATGCTGATATTTTCATGCAATGATTATTATGCAGGCATTAAAATGAATTAACTAGACATACATGTATTAATATGGATAGGTCTTGAAACATAATTTGACTAAGAAAAAAACCTACCTTTTGCAGTGCTAGGGATTAAAAGTAAAGGTTTTATCAAAAAATAATATTATAAGGGCCGGGGGTTTAGCTCAGTGGCGTAAGTGCCTGCTTGGCAAACGCAAGGTCATGAGTTCAATACCTGGTACCAAAAAAAAAAATAGTAATAATAATAATAATAATAATAATATATTATTAGCAATACATGTGCAAAGGTTTAAAATGTAGACCAAACAAGCAAAAAAAATAGGATAAAGGTTATATCTAAAGCCCTGGGATAAATTAGAGAACCAGAAAAATATAACCAGATATAAAAGAATAAGGATATGATCAAAACATAATATATGTATGTATGGAATGTGTGGAATTAATACATATTATAATAAAAAATAAAATATAATAATTTTAATGCATAAACTTTAATTGTATCTTTGTTCAAGGGAAAAAGATAGCCATAAAAGACATTTTTAGAAAATTTGGGGAAATTTCAATATAGATTGAATACTAAATAATTTCATTGTTACTATTAATATTTTAGAAACAGTAATATTATGAACTGTGTAAGCCTGATTTTTAGCTGACTGTAAAGCCTTACAATATCTACAATTTACTTTCAAATGGATAGTAAAACATATATGTTTTGCCTATACAAACAGGGCTTGGTAAACTAAAAAGAGTATAGGAGTCCCCAAGTGGCAATCAGAGACAACTACAGTGTTGGTTGTTTCTAGAATTGAAAATGCTTCCAAGCCCAAAATGCCCAGTAGGAGACTGAAAGCCATGGTCCCCAGAACTATTTCGCTAGTCTAGTCTACACATGGATGATTTCTCTACCTGCAGGACCAATACATTCTCTCAGCAAACTTTGCTTTTGGCCATTATGGCTCCAATTAGCATAGAGAGTACAGTTTTCTGTTTGTCTCTATCCCCTACCAACCCATGAACCTCATGAGGTTAGAGATCATGTTTACTATTTGTTGTCCTGTCAGCACCTACAGCAAAACTTGGTGCATAAAAATCCTTAATAAATATTTGTGTAATTAATCTACTATGATCATCTTCCAAAAAGGAAGATGTCCTCTCTTCTCACCACCCAGCCAAGTCACAAGACCCAACATACCCCATTACCATGCATGGGGGAGGTTTTTTCCTGGTCACCATTTGCTACTGTGTTATGTGCATAGAGTCACAGTTGAAGCTGCCACAATCCCCACGTCTGTCCAATAGTTTTTTTTTAAAGTATTTATTTGTACCCATAGAAAAGTTTGTGTAGTATGATTTGATTAATCAAAATATTCTTTACTTCGCAGCTTATCCAAAAGCATTTACTATCTCCCTGAAGTTCTAAAGATGATGAAAGGTATGTAGCTCATGATACTCATGATACTTATTTATATTTCCAAATGTAAATAAATTAGATTCA